CAATTTGAACATTTCAAATTTTTCCAAAAACTTGATTCTTGTTTTACCCGTTGTGAGCTAGCAAGAGGACCTAATGGACCTAAAGATCAGAAGCTCCAACGATACAAGATTAATCGGTCAAACTCATTGACCGAGTTAATCAACATTTGTTAACTACGGGTCACTCCACTAAAGACCCGCAGTTGTACTCTTCTCACTGCAGAATGTTTTCGTGTCCATGGATATACGACCATTAATGACAAGTCAATCCTTCATGAGTGCTCATAACTCATGCTTGGTCAAATTACCGTTTTACCCCTGAGTTACATCTTACTCTTTAAATACCACTGCTCCTCTAATGAACAACCCGGTTATGGTCCGACCAATAACTGGAAGTCCCTCTCGGGGAGGGTGGAACCCCTTGTTCAAATCCTAGAGTCAACATTTAAGAGAACACTCATCTACTCCGTAGAGTCGGGGAGGAGTGAATTCTATCGTGTGAAGTTATGTTCCCAGCTTTCCACTTGGTCTCGTCCTCAAAATGATAGGAATATTGAGTCGACGACTCGGGCCACTCTCACCCATACAGATCAAAGGACGAGCCCTCACGGGCATGAGTCCATAACTCACTCAAGATTGAGAATGAGTTGTCTGGTCATCCTAAAAAATAGTAATCTGTTAGTTAACGGTGTTACATCTAAAGATTGGCTATTTTGCGGTCTGGTCTTATATAAACTCATTGTATAGGATACCCCCACTCGCATGTCTCCACACGAACTACCTGGATCGAGTCGTCTGTAACATTTACAAAGTGGCCCGTATCCATAGTGTTGTCAGGATAAGGTATCCAGCCTTATCCATATACTATAGACCCTTTAGGTCATTCCCGGGACATTATCCACTTGTATATTAGGGGTATATTAAATATATACCTAGTATATCAGGGGTATATCAAATACATACCTAGTATATCAAATATATAGCCAATAGATATACTGTCCCGGATACATGATAATAACCTTGGATGTTTAGTTTATTGGATTTTGGACAATGCAATGCTATGAATTCAACAACAAATTGATTGAATAAAACTTTGTTGAATATAAATTTGCTTTTACATAAATACAAACTACGAGTTTAGGGCAACACACCCAATAGGAGGCACATTGGGCAATCTCGTGGTGAATGAGCTGACCGACGTCAATGCTGACACCCTCCATTAAACACGCGATGAGTAGGACCCTCTCCTTCGTCACGGGCGAATCATGTGTGGTAGGCACATTATCCGGCTCTTGCGGAAGTAAAGCCATACATTGGCCTCTGGGTTTAGGAAGTTTGAGGGTAGAGAATGGGCTTTTTGCGGGGCGATACTCTAGGAGGCACCAGGGTAGGTCACAATTGATAGTGCATGAGCCAACTGAGCCTCAATAGGTTGCTCAAGCTTTTTGTTGAATTTCACCTCCAGATTAGAACAAAGGTGGAGAGCCCTATTGATCTCCTCCAGGCTCCAGACAACTCCTATCTCTCGCACTATCGTTCTTCCAATGCTGTCGGGGCAAATGTTCGCATAAAACTCCTCTACCAGATGCGGAATCAGCGACCCAGAGGGGGCGCAAAAGTATTCCTACTTGTTGCTGGTGATAACTTGCTGGACAAAAGGAGGCATGGGATCCAACTGAAATCCTTTCTTGAAGAAGAAGTCCCGCTTTCGCAAATGTTCATGTGCCTCCACGGGGGCATGTGCGCTGAACCTTTTGAAAGCGGCATCCTAGAGAGCAACAACATTGGCTCTCTTTCGCCCAAGTGGAAGCTATTGAATGGTTACCTACATTGAAGGGACAAAATAATGTCGCTTCCTCTTAGATGAGGATGCAGTCTTTACCGTACTACCTTCGATGGGACCTTTGGTCACAGAGGGAGATGGGTCATCCTTGAGCTTTGGAGGTTTTGTAGTAGTTGCGACTTTTGTCTTTTTAGAGGTTAGGCTGTCAGAAGCTGACTTGCTTGGCCGTTTGGCAGTTCTTGTGTGGGAGGCTAGGCTAGAGGAGATTGGAACTGGCGGAGGTGGGGGAGCAGTTATTGGGCGAGAGGGATTGGTAGGGGTGGCGGGTGGTGGGTTTTCAGAGGTGGGCTTTTCAGAGTCTTCCTCCTCTGACTGTGCCGGAACAAACTGCTCTGCCTCCGAAACGGGGGCTAAACGCGAATCAACCGCGGTCGGCAGCTGAGCAGGTGATGCTACTTGCTTTTAGGCGGCTCCCACCGTCATCGATTGGTTTACTGCACCGCCAAGATCCTCCGATGAGCTTTGTGACAGGGGTAACTCTTCTAACTTCTTGTAGTTGGCCTTTTGCTTGTAACGAGGCATGATTTCTGCTACAGGCAATTGGGGTTGTCAAAGGAGTGGCTGCGTGGCTTTTTAGGACAGAGGGGCTTGGGTTTTCGGCAGGACGATTTCAACAAAGGTGGAAGATGAGGGGGAAGACAATCGTGGGTTGGTTGGCTGGGGCGGTGGGCTTTAAATAGAGACTTTAAGGGCCTTACCTCTAAACCCGAAAATACGATTTACCAATCCTTTCTTAATTGGAAATAAATTCCCGCGCCCAGCTAGCTGTCCCTTCATCATTACCGTTTCTTCTCTCTCTGCGACTGTGTTTAATTATCTACCCGCCATCAAACCACTTGCCATTAAAATCAAATCAAGCCTTCAGTAATTAAGAATTTCTTAGCAAAAATAACAAACATTAAGAATTGCAAAGTGAAACAAAAATATCTATATATATATCTTTTTTTTTGTTTTTTTTATTATTATTTTTTTAATTTTTAAAGACAATTAAAGAATAACTCCTTCATGCAGGGGCAAGCTGGTGAACTCCAGCATCCCATGCCACATACTCTCCCCAGTAAAGCTTGTCGTTGTCCGTTTACAGTGAATTCTCTATCTGATTTTAATTCCTTGATCGTTATACCACTTAGATTTTAGCTTCCCAGGAAAGAGCTTGAGCCTTGAATTGTAAAGGAGAACCTGCTGCCCCACTTCGAATTTCCTGGGTGTATGCGAGCATCATGTCATTTCTTGGGTTTCTCTTTATAAATCTTTGCATTTTCATATGCGTCCCTTCGGAATTCTTCCAATTCTTGCAGTTGCAGCTTCCTGATTTCCCCTGCTGCAGCATGGTTTAGATTCAATTTTTTTTATTGCCCAGAATGCTTTGTGCTCCAGTTATAGGGGTAAGTGGCACGCTTTTCCAAACACCAGCCTGTATGAGGACGTCCCTAACCGCGTTTTAAATGTCGTTCTGTATGCCCATAAAGCTTCATCCAGCTTTAATGCCCAGTCCTTTCTGCTGGCCTTCACCACCTTTTCTAGGATGCTTTTGAGTTCTCTATTTGAAATTTCTGCTCGGCCATTGGATTGAGGGTGGTAGGCTGTAGTGATTCTATGCTTGACATTGTATCTAGCTAATAATCCTGCTACAGTCCTATTCACAAAATGTGTTCCTTCATCACTTATGATCGCTCTTGGTTTGTCGAATCTGGTAAAGATGTTTTTTCGGGAGGAATTTGATTACCACCTTAGCATCGCTGGTGGAGCATAAGATTGCCTCAACCTATTTAGACACATAACCAACTGCTACGAGAATAAACAAATGGCTGTTAGATGGTGGAAATGGGCCAATGAAGTCTATACCCCACACATTAAACAATTCAACTTCCAAAATATAGGTCAATGGCATTTCTGATTTCTTTGAGATATTCCCGACCCGCTGACATTCGTTGCAGTTTTTGGCCAGCTCATGCGCATCCTTGAAATTTGATGGCCAAAAATAGCCAGTCTGAAGCACTTTGGCTATTGTTCTTTGTCCACCAAAATGTCCCCCACAAGGAGAAGCATGGCAACTCTTTAATGTTTGGGATGCTTCCGAATTGGTGACACATTTTCGAATTATATTGTTCTGTCACAATCTATACAAAATAGGATCATCCCAATAGTAAAATCTGCATTCGTGGAAGAAACGTTTCAATTGTTGTTTTGTCCATCCCTCTGGACGTATTCCTACTGCCAAGAAATTTGCATTATCTGCAACCACAACTCTTCCTCCTTAGCATCTATATGCGACAAGGTGAGCAGCTGTTCATCTGGGAAGCTCTCTCTGATGGCTATAGCTTCCTCACTCTCGTCTGCTTTTATGATCCTTAACAAATGGTCGGCTTCCACGTTTTCTGACCCCTTTTTATCCTTTATTTCTACATCAAATTCTTGTAGCAGTAGAATCCATCTAATCAATATTAACTTTGCATCTCTCTTGGTTAGCAAGTATTTCAAAGCAGCGTGATCAGTATGGACTATCACTTTTGCTCTCATCAAGTATGCGCGAAACTTTTCGAAAGCAAATACCACCGCTAGCAACTCTTTCTCTGTAGTGGTGTAGTTTATTTGAGCCTCTACCAATGTTTTGCTGGCGTAATAGATTGGATGCAACACTTTATTCTTCTTTTGCACTAACACGGCTCCTACTGCAAAGTCACTGGCGTCGTACATTCATTCCAAAGGAAGCTGCCAATCAGGGGATTGAATAATCGTCGCATGGGTGAGTGCATACTTCAACGCATCGAATGCCTGCAAACAGTCAGTAGAAAAATCAAACACTCTATCATTTTCTAACAAAGAAGACAAAGCTTTAGCAAGTTTAGAAAAATCCTTTATAAACCGTCGGTAGAACCCTACATGGCCGAGAAAGCTTCAGATTCCTTTTACGTTAGCTGGCAGTGGCAATTATTCAATGATGTCAACTTTAGCTTTATCTACCTCTAGTCCTTTCTTTGAAACCGGATATCCCAATACTATACCCTCTTGCACCATGAAATGACATTTTTCCCAGTTGAGGACTAGGTTGGTCTTCTCACAGCGTTGCAGCAGTCGTCGAAGGTTCATAGACATTCAATGAAACTAGCTCCAAAAACTGAAAAGTCGTCCATAAGGACTTCTACCACGGATTCAACAAGGTCTGAGAATATAGCCATCATGCATCGCTAAATGTGACTAGAGCGTTGCACAGCCCGAAAGGCATCCTCCTGAAAGCGAAAGTTCCATACGGGCATGTAAATGTTGTTTTTTGTTGATCTTGAGGAGCTATAGTGATCTGGTTGTACCCACTATATCCATCAAGAAAGCAGTAATACTCTTGCCCAAATAGTCTGTCCAGCATTTTATCAATAAATGGCAGCGGAAAAGGATCCTTCCTTGTAGCTTTGTTGAGAGTCTTGTAGTCGATGTATATTCTCCATCTGGTAATTGTCCGAGTGGGAATTAGCTCATTCTTGGCATTCTCAACCACTGTCATTCCTCCCTTCTTTGCAATTCTCTTCTAAAACAATTTTGTGCATACAGTAATTGGGGCTTATTTCCTTCAATATCCGCGATTGTCCAACCAATAGTTTTCCTGTGTTCTCTCAAAACTGCTAGCAACTCGTTTTCCTTTTCCGTTGTTAGATCTGCAACAATTATAATAGGCAATGTGTTGGATGCTCCAAGGTAAGCATACTTTAGATGTTTTAGGAGGACTTTTAACTCCAATTCTGGTGGTTCCTCAATAGATGGCTTCAACTGTTTACGTCCAATGTCCTCTAAGTCTAGGCTCTCGTGGACTCTTGACCATGATCTTGCTAAATCGCTAGTGCAGTCAAAATAGAGAATTTATTGGCATATTTCATCTGCTTGCTCCAGCACAATATCCACTTCACCGTTTTGCTGCTCCAGTATTGTCTCTGCACTGAATGATTCCAGTACAGCTTCGTCTAATACTCGCAAGACCGTGCACTCTTCAGCATCAGAAGGGTACTTCAAAGAGTCATAGACAGAAAATTTGATTTCTTGATCCTACAGTCTCATCGTTACTTCTCCCTTCTACACATCCACAAGTGCACGCCCCGTGGCCAAGAATGGCCTCCCTAGGATGATTGGCAAGTCCTCATCTGCATCAAAATCAAGAACAATAAAATCAGCGGGAAATATAAACTTATCCACTTGTACCATAACAACCTTGATTTTTCCTTCAGGGTTTGCAATTGAACGATCTGATAGCTGTAGTGTGACTGTTGTTGGCCTCACTCCTCCCATGCCCAATCTCTTGTATACTGATAGCGGCATTAAATTAATACTTGCGCCAAGATCGCACAAGGCTTGACCAATCTTATGACCCCCAATGGACACCGGAATTGTAAAGCTTCTTGGATCTTTCACTTTTTCTAGAATTTTACTCGTCAGAATTGTGCTGCACTCCTTTGTTAAGCAGACAGTTTCAAGTTCTCCTAGACTGTGCTTCTTGGTTAGGACATCCTTCAAAAATTTCACGTAAGTTGACATTTGTTCGAGCGCCTCCACCAGTGGGATGTTGATATGTATTTGCTTAAGCACCTCCAGGAAGCGTTTAAACTGCCCCTCCTGATTCTTCTTCTGCAGCATATTCGAGTATGGTATTGTAGGTACATATGTCGCGGTATTTGTTGGCGTGATATTTTTCTAGAAGCTGTTGTTTATCAGATGAACTAGATGTGGATGCTTTAGCTTTGCCTGTCTTGTGTGCCCCTTCAGTGTTCTTTTCTTCAGACAATTTTTGCCTTGACTCTGCAGTATGTGTTAGTGTCTCACTGTCTCCCAACTGTTCTGCTTTTGAGCTTTTCTCAGTGTTCATTATTCCATCTGATTTTGTAAGTTCCTCTGCTTTCTTGAGGGTGTCTGGTATAACTTCTTGTTCCTCGTTAGCTCCTTCTTGTTCATACGCCAGTGGTAATGCCCTACCGCTTCTCAATGTTAAGGTCTTGCACTGTTCCTTTCTATCTCATTTTGGCTGCTCTGTATCACTCGACAGTGCTCCTTTTGGTCTGCTTTTTAATTCTGTTCCCAATTGGCCCATCTGCAATTCCATATTACGTAAAGATGCTGCTTGACTCTGCAGCAATGTAGCTTAGCTTTATACGTTAGCATCATTCTTTGTCATATATGCCTTAAACATATCTTCTAGACTCAGTGCTTCTGGTTGCTTTTGAGTGATCTATTGATTCTGTCCTCAAAAGCCTGAAGGATACTGCGTCTTCTGAGGATACACTTTTGTATTACTTGACCCAACATTGTTGCCTCCTTGGTTTCCTCACCAACTAAAATTTGGGTGATTTCTCCAGCTCGGATTGTATGTGTTCCCATACACATTATTTCTGTTCTGCCACGAGTTACCAAAGTAAAATACTAATGCAGGATTGCCTGGGCAGTTTTCAAAATGGTGTTCTCCCTCACAGTATGGACACAGATTGCTTTGCACAGCAGCCACCTTTGCCTTGGTTGCTATTACTTCACTCGTGATTGCACTTTTCATAATGATGTCAGCTAGGTGTGAAATCTTTGAGTTAAGATCTGCGACTACATCGTCTGTTACTAACCCCTTGGGGCTTGCTGCTGTCAATGCTGATCGAGACTTTTACCATTAATGTTTGTTCCGTGAAATCCTTTCCAAAATGTCGAAGACTTCCGCGTATGGTTTTGATAACAAAGCTTCGTTGGCTGAAGCATCAATCACCAATGGTGTAGCGTCATTCAGTCCATTATAGTAGGTCTCGATTTGTATAAAGAGTGGTATTCCATGATGAGGGCATTTTTACAGCAATCCTTTGAATCTTATTCAAGATTCACTCAAGGATTCTCCTGGTAGTTGCTGAAAGTTGTTAATCTTGTTTCTAAGTTCAGCATTCTTCGAAGGTGGAAAATATTACATCAGAAATTTTTCTACTAGGTCATTTCATGAAGTGATCAATTCGGTAGGTAATGAGTCCAACCATGCTCCGGCATTATCCCTTAAAGATAAAGGGAATAGCTTTAATCTCATAGCTTCTTTAAATGAATCAGCCACTTGCATGAAATATCTTAGGTGTCTATGAGGATCTTCTGATGCTAGCCCATGAAACGGTTTCACCGTTTGCAACATTTGAAACATTGCTGGTTTCAGCTCAAATCTGCCCGCTTCTATGATTGGATCTGTATCGCAGGATTGAAGTCATAGAAAGTTGGGGCTGCATATAGTCTCATTTCTTGCTCTGTATCATCTGCAAGCAGGACAACATTCAGGGGAGGTACTGGGATTCCAACTTCAGCCCTAACCCCTTCTATCCTTTCCATCTCCTACTCAGGCCGAATTGGTGCTTCTGGATTCATGACTATCTCCCTGCCTTGTATTCACTGCTCAACCCTTCTCCTTCTCAATGTACGCTCTGGTTCTGGGTCAGAAGCAAAATCAAACGTAGGGAAGTCGTTCATCTACAGCTCAGTTCACCAGAAACACAAGATTGAAAGGCTACTTAGGCACCATAATTCAAAATAGATCCCAAATTCGAGTTATAAATTTTTAAATCCCCGGCAACGGCGCCAAAAACTTGTTCGTTTCCTCACAACTAGGAGAAAATTGGTGCAATTTATACACCAAAATAATTTATTGTAGTATAAAACAAGGTTGTCTCTACAGGAATTACAGAATAAAGAAATAGATTTGGGAATTTTGAATCACCCAAAAAAAACAAAAGAAAAATAATCAATGGTCTATTAACTCAGTTTCTAAAACAATCGGAATTAAACAAGCAAGAGAAACCAGCTGCCGCAAACTCTCAGCACAGCCAACAGCAATCAGCAAAGAAGATTAGAAATACACGGGAGAAACGAGTGATAAGTAAATTGGGAGGGGGATTTCCCTAGCGCTGCTGTTTTGTTCGAAAGACTATCACTGCTCCACACTTCAACTCTGTTGCCCAAACCTTCACGGCTCTTTTCCAAGATACCTTAGATGTATTTCAGTCTGATTCCACAGTAACTAAGATACTCATGGTAAACGATCTATAGGCACTGTATGGCAAACCTCATCCCTAGGTATCTACCCTCCTATCTTAACAAGGACTGATACAGCTAATGGAAGCTAAGCTACTCAACAGGGGTTTTTCCGAACCTTAAGCAAGAAAACACACTAAACAAGTAGGCCATACAAGCATAGTAATACAAAAATTAAGCACACTTCCATTAAACATTCATTGAAGTTGAACATGATAAACAACGAGTAAATAGCGAGCATTGGGACTATCCCCTCCTCGAAGGTGAAGGTTAGTTCATATTAAAATGGCAAAAGAAAATAACAAAGAGTGAAGATGAAATCAATGTCAAGGGAGAAAACAGAGAATAAGAAGCTTCCTCGGGTGTACAGTTTAACCCAAAAGCACGACCTGTATCTTTCAGCTCTTTCTTCGATAAAAATCCCCTCTATCAATGAGAGAATCACTTCTTTTTCTCTCCTCCCAAAAATGATGTTAACTTCCAAGGGTGTTTGAATCTCCTTGGCGGTTGGTCCACCTTTTTCTTAAATACTTGGTCTTTTAAAATTAGGGCAATTCTTGGAGGCCTGTACAGACGCAGTAACATTTCCAGCTCAAAGAGTTACAACACTATTACGTGCTCTGGAGCAACCGGACGAGCTGCAGGCTGCTGACCATTGCTTCTTTTTCGTACTTAACATATTCTTCGCAAACTTGGCAGCATGCCTCTCCTCCAAATCTGAATTCAACTGCCCTTGCAAAAACTAACAACTATTAAGCATTTAATCATGAAAATTAGAGCGATTTAGAAATTTCAAGAGATTAGGGCTTGCTCGATGTATTCTCCCTTTTTCTTAAGTTTATTTCTAGATATCCTTGCATTTCGCACTTTAAACGCCCTGAATAGCCTGTTAAACACTCTCTATCTGAGAGTTATCAATAAGTCAACATAGAGATTCATATGCTAAGGTGATTATACCTCGGACCTCGCCAAAGAGGCTGAACCTATCCAAGAAAGCTGGTTGCAAGTCATCTATAATACGAGCCGACCTACTCCTTCTACCTTAGTCGCTTGAGGTTTAAGCCGAGCCGAGAACCTACCTCCATGACGAACGCATGAGTTAGAAGCCGTGCCAATTGAAGGACTAATTGTGAGCATTTATCTTAAGAGAAAAGTAAGAAATCATTGTAGAGTGTTTGTAAACTCTTGAGGATTTTCATTTGCACTTAGTGGAACCTGCACAGTAGCAAAGAACATGACGTCGCCCACATTGGGTCAACCAATATAAATCTAGCGCCAATTTCTCTTTCCCTATATTTTTATTTTTCTTGTTACGTGAGGTTTAAGTGGGTTTATCTACTCTTTTAGCTTAGTTCTAAATTATTTAATTCAGTTATAATTAGAACCAAAACCTGATCTAGGATTACTTAAGATGTTTGTAACTATGATTGAGATAATATTGGTAGCTTGTTTTTATTTCTAACAAGTGGTATCAAAGAAAGTTTGAAAAACGATGGCACGGGAGAACAAATTGGTCACTTTTAATGCGCTAGATTTTTCGTTTTGGAAAAATCAGGTATTAGGTTATTTGCACTTAAAAGAGATGGACTTGTCATTAAAAGGAAACTTGATGGCATGAGAGAAAAAGAATGGAAGGAGTTGTATAGGAAAGTGTTGGATATGATTCGCCTGACATTAACTAAAAATTTTCAGAGCCGCATGGCGAAGGAGACGACCACAATGGGGCTGATTAATGCCCTTACCAACATGTACGAAAAATCTTCGGTAAATAATAAGGTGTATCTTGCAACTAAATTTTTTAATTTAAAAATGGCTGAAGGTACATAAAGTTGAAGTTAATGTTATTTTGTTGTTAAGGTCTTTGCTTGATAATTGAGAACCCATGAGAGCTGCTATTCCAAATTCTTGCAGGAAAGAAAAATTGAAATTTGAAGATGTCATTTATGCAGTTCTTGTAGAAGAAATTTGCGGGGAGAACTTTGGTATCACCTCTATTTCTAGTTAAACATTGAATATGGACAAAGCAATAAATAATAAAAAGAGGTTATGGGAATTGAGGCAAGTCGAGAAACAATAGAAGTAGGTCTAGAAATAGTAGTTTTTAGTATTAAAATTGTGGTAAGACTGGACACCTGAAGATTAATTGCAAGGCCTAGAAGAAAATTGAAAGGAAGGAAGCCAGAAGAATGTTGCTAAGCAGATACATGATCCTCTAGTTCTTGCAGTTGAGAGCACTCATGACACATGGGTGATGGATATAGATGCGTCTTTTTATACTACAGGATAACATGACATTCTTGAAAATTATATTGCAAGAAATCATGGAAATGTCGTATATCTTGTATTAGTGATGTGAATTTAGAAATGGTGAATGATTCAATTTGGAAAATTCGCAAGGTACGTACGTTCATAATATGATTAAAAACTTGATTTATGTGGGGCATTAGATAAAAATGATGTGAAACATCCTTTGATCAATGAAACTAGAAAGTTACAAAATGTGTCTGTTGATCAGTATGACATAAACTTTATAAACTTTTTAACACGGTGGGCCCAATTTAAACAAATAAGAATTTTTTTTATGAACAAATGATTTT